CGGTGTAGGTTGTTCCATTGGTTCTGTCAGAGTACGATGACGTAGTATCGTGAACTGGGGCTATGTACTGGCTATGTTCCGATTCGTTCCGTGGTCATATAATTGGCTTTTTGTGGGGTTCCGGGCCTCGGAATCGATCAGTTAGTCTCGTGTAGGTTGCCGCAGTACCACCGGAGCTGACCAATCATATATAAGGATGATCATCACGTGAGCAACGCTTCCTGTCATTTTCGATGCTTCAAGTTGCGCAGATGATTTCATAGTTATTTTATTATTAGAATTTTGTTGGAAAAATTCTAGGAGGCGCAGGAGTCAGCCCTTCCTAAATTGGTGGTGTCGTTCCTTCACTTCCTTTGGCACCATCATAGTTCACTACACGATGCAGACCCAGCACTTTGATTCGGTAGACTTTAGTGGTAGTGAGGCCTGTCCTGATTCTAGGGGTAAGTGTCAAACCTGATAGGGAAAAAATCCAAGTTCGTATTTCTATTCGGGTGGCTACAAATATGGTATATTGCCGCAGATTGGTGGGCCTCACCGGATACCCTACCAGATACCTCGTGGGGCATTTTGTCCGACGCCTCGACTTCGGTTGTGGTTGACGTCTCCTCTGGGCTAGGCAATTTTGATCATGTCGACCTCTGCAGTCTTACTCGATTTGACCAGGCACCACATGGGCTGCACCTGCAAATATAGTGCTAACAACCTGCTGATAGTACCACTAGGCCTACTCCTGAGTCCACGCTGCTGTCTCCACTGCAGTCTCGTCAGTTTCCACTGCCGTCTTCGCAGTCTCCGCTGCAGTCTCCGCAGTCTCTACTGCAGGCTATGCTGCAGTCTACGCTGCTGTCTCCACTGCAGTCTCGGCAGTCTCCGCCGCCTTCTCTGCAGCAGTCTCTGCTGTGGTCTCCGCAGTCCCTACTGCAGTCCTTGACAGAGCACCTGCAGGTTGGAGTTGGACCCCATTGTGACTGAGGTGCACCTGCCTGTTTACATCCTAGTTCCACAGTCATGGGTAGAATTGAAGATGAGAGTAAGAGCTAAAATGTGCAGTTTCTTGTTTTTGTCTTTCTATGAAATTTCCATTTACCAGCATCTGATGATGATTATCAGCTCAAGTCATACTTGAATATACCATTTAATTACAAGTATACATTCACAATATTTCTTCACATTTATCATACATATCTTGACACAAAATGTTCGCCCTGTTATAGATCTATTAAAGGGAATCCACATATAATTCATATCAGTGATTGTGAATCTGATTTTGATGATTTTTCCATCCTGGAAACTTTAAGTGTAGTGATTACTCCATGATTGTAAATGTCAATTGGGGTTTAACTATCAACATATAATTAAACTTCCATTGAGTTCACACAGTGTTTCAATTATTTTCTCTTTCAGGGAAGTGATTGAGGTTTGTAATATCTATTATATTTTCTCGGTTTTTCATTCTGATACAAACTTAGTGAAGCAGTATTTCAACATTTTGCAATATTTGATTTTTTTTACCATTTCAGAAAAAATTGTCTTTAGTAGGTTACATTCTTACACTGTTGACAATATTCCAAAAATCTCAGTTAATACAGAAAACGAAATAATTCACACGTCGAGAAATACAATATATTGCCTGTGCATCAATCGGGATTTGGGAATGGTTATAGTTGCACTACAGCGCTGTTAGATGTGACGGATGATATATCTAGAGATGTCGATGAAGGATATGCTGTGGCATTGATTATTCGAAAGCATTTGATACTATCAATCACTGTTTACTGTTCTCTATCCTTCATTATATTGGATTTTCACATAGAGCGATCAATTTACTCAAGAGTTACCTCACTGGTCGTGTACAATTTGTTGAAACGAGCTTAGGGAGGTCAACTTTGAAAAATGTTTTCTGTGGAGTGCCTCAAGGCTCTATATTGGGACCTATAATATTTTCAATTTCTACATGTAATATCACAAGTTGTTTGGTGGATTGTGAACTATTTATGTATGCTGATGATACTCAAATAAAATTTACCTTATCCCATTCTGATACATATCTTACAAGTTTACTAATTAATGAGGAATAGGGTATACGCGTGTGAAAATTTTACACTGGAATATATTTTTGTTCCATTACTCATATGTATAGATGTCGAATTATACATCCGAAAAACATTATTAATCACCGAATATTTAATAATTTCTGATTGAAAATCATAATATTTGCAACTTTCCGACCAACAGCCGAACTGCAGCGATGATTTCCGACTGTACTGTTTTTATTTGTTATGTCAAACATTCATGTCCGAAAGATTGAAAATAATATAAGAAGAGAAAGTGACGTTATGATTATTTGAGCTTGTAGTTTCTATAATCTATCTCAATTATATGATATCAATATTCTGAATAATGATAACTGAATAATAAGCAAATATCTACAATAAGAATGATCAAACAGGACTTATTTTTGCATGTTGTTTCAAATATATATTACCACCTATCAATTCATATCTCATATAGTTTTCCATATCTTCTTCAAGCTGAAAACGAAATCACATATTATATTATTCTCCTAATAACATGAGGAACATAATCATTGATATACAGGGTGTAACTAAATAAGTGTAAAACATTTGAGGGGGTAAATCCTCATCGAAAAAAAGATGGGATCTTTCATATAAAGAAACTTCATGAAGGCATCTCATGTTAAGATACAGCCCCTTGAAGGGGGTACATAAATTTTGTTCAAAAATTTTTTTCACATGCACTAAAAAAGTTACAGTATTGTAATTAACCTGACATTCTCTACTACCAAAAAGACACTTAGCCAGTAATTTATTTGGTTTACCCCATGGTTGTAAGGGGTGGAAAACGCAACCTCTAAATTTTATTTTCAATGTAACTTTTCGTCCTATCATTTGTTTACCATTTGAAAATTCATTTCCGATAGCCTGTTTCATTCTAAACAAAAAATATACCCGGAATTTTTTGCCCAAAATGAACCAGTTGGCAGCAAAAAAATATTTTACCATCAACTACAGAGATACATCGTCATAAATGCGAACTGGATTTATTGTCATTTTGTAGTTACTACCTGCGTTAAATGATTAAAGGGATTGAACCATGGGGTAAACCAAATAAATTACTGGCTAAGTGTCTTTCTGGTAGTAGAAAATGTCAGGTTAATTTCAATACTGTAACTTTTTTAGTGCCTGTGAAAAAAGTTGTTGAACAAATTTTATGTACCCCCTTCAAGGAACTGTATCTCAAGATGGGAAGCTCCAATGAAGTCTCTTTATATGAAAGATTCTATCTCATTTTCGATGAGGGATCATCCCCTTAAATGTTTTACACATATTTAGTTACACCCTGTATAATGGGTTTCACTAGGACATACTTGAACGTATACTCACTTCGAAATTGTCTTCACAAACAAATCCTCTGGTTTTCTCGAATAAATCATTTCTATTCATGACTTGCAACCATAATTTCCTTTTCTCTTTATTTTCATCACTCGATCCCACTGGCAATGAAAGGAATATTTTTCCTGGTGATACTTTCGTTGCTGAAAGGCATTGCGG